AATAAAAATAAAATAAATAAATAAAATAAAATAAAATAAACCAGAACTAATCCTACCCCAAATTTTGTGATGAGTCACTTGCAACACCTATGCAAAAAACAAAAAATAAAAATAAACCTATGCGGGGCCAGGGAGATGGCTCAGTGGAATAAGCGCTTCCCTGGCAAGCGCAAGGACCCGAGTTCAATCCCCGGTTCTGCCAAAAAAAAAAAAAAAGAACAAAAATAAACCTATGCACTCTTAATGAATAGAGGGCTTTGTTCTAATGGTGTCTGTAAAAAGGATATCAAGTCCTCATCTTGAACAAAAACTAACCACTAGGAAGAACGTATGCAATGTGTTAATTATTGAAACTGTTCTACCAATTTGGTTTGACACTGTCTCATTGCTATTTGTATCTCAATAAAATTATGGAAAAAAAATAAACCTATGCAAAGGTATACTGGGAGGAGGAAGAATGTTGAAAGCTTGCACGAGCTATTCTCTGTCAAAATCGTTTCTCCATTCTTCATGGCTGTGGTTCTCAACCTAGCTACCTTCCCCACTCATGGACAACTAGCAATGTCCAGAGAGGGACTTTTTGCTTTTCATGACTTGGGAGTGGAGAGGGAAAGCGCGGTGAAGTGGAGTCCAGTCAGCAGAAGCGCGAGATACTCCCAAATATAACACACAGCACCCCTGCGCACAAAACAAGATAATTTTTCTGGGCCAAAAAGTCAGGAGTACAGAGGCTAAGCAGTTCTGCTTTACAGGCCCAGGTGAGCAAACTACAGCCTCTTCTTCCTAACACACACCATTCTGATTTATCTATCAAGAGATTAAAGCTACAAATTCCATGCTACACCTGCCAGAATTAGCTGAGATTAGAAACTGTGCACGCGTGAGCCCAGCTCAGGCCCGCAATTTCAGGCATCTATCATTAACAAAATCTCCTCCGATAATCCCGAGGGGCAAACAGTGCCTGGAGCCTCAGAACTGCTAAAAGCCAGAGAAGAAAAAAGTGAAAGAGCTGTAGCTGCTTAGCCTGCATATTTCTCCTCAACACTTGAAAGGGTATGTTCCAAAGACCTGTCCTGTGGGGTTCTCAGAGGTAAAAGCTAGTATGAATGGGGATCAGCTGAGTTCAGGAGGACAGATTTCAACACAATAAAAATAACTATCATGTGTTTATAAAATGTCTGATGTGAGACACTAAACACTGCACATGTAAGTCCTTATAGAAACTGTCAAAAAGGCAATGAGCCTGGGGAGAGTCACATGGAGAGAAAAAACATTCTCTCAAGCTTTCACAGAGAGCAAATTAGTCAAGCAATGGCCGTGACTCATCCTCAGGTCAGACACTGACAAAAGGATGTACAAA